CACTTGTGTCCGATTGCGGCAGGTATTTGATAATGCCTATAGTTAAAGGTTGTCGTGACAATCTCCTTTATTATATTGATCTAAGCGAGACAAAAAATGTAATATCATCCCTGAAGGTTATCAAGGTGATAGACGTGTTTGAAAATGACTACGAGGTAAGTAAATTTAAAAAAATAAATTAAAGCGAAACATTTCCTAAAATATTTTCAGTACATAACCAACGTGGGATCAAAAATGTATCTTAGGACGAATAAAAGCGCCCCCAACTACAGAATTATTGTTATAGATTTGGAAAATCCCCTTGAAGAATATTGGCAAGCAATAATTCCAGTAAGTCTTTAAACAAAACAAGTAATTTTTAAGCAGAAAAATACGACCGGCTTCAGGGTCCAATGAATGGGAATTAGCCAAATTATTATAAAAAACGAATTATCGGAAACCGATCACGTGGTAAAATTTTATGTGTAAACATCTGTGTCCTGAACTATTACCGAACTAAATCAGAAAAAGTCTTGAACAAGTCAAGAAATGATCCCGTGTTATTCCGGAACTAGCCCCGAAAAAGTCCTGAACTAACATTAACTTCATTTCATTTTATTCATTTTGCTGATTTATATGTCATTTATTCATTTTCATTCTTACAACAAAACATAATTTTGACATAAATAATCACCGAGGCGAAAAGCTCAGCGGCTTTAGTACCTTACATGAATTCGCCTTGCTAAAATAGCTAACTAGATTTGTTTTCATTTGCACTATATATGTACATTACACTGACCAGAAAAAAATTAAATGGCTTCTTTTTTGACGCTCTTGACTTTTCAGCTTCCTTAATCGCTAAAAACTATCCCCTGCAAATTTGGGGGTAAAAAATTAACATTAAGAGGTCTCGCGTGTACGTTTTGTGCCTCCGACTCAAGTGCTTAAAATTACTCATCCTTTAATCCGTGCGCACACGAAATCCCTCACAAAATTGAATTTTTCTAAGGTCTTACAATATGTTTTCAAGGACGCCGAACATGTTCGGCGAGACAATTTTTCGATTTGACCCTTACATTTTGACATATTACGAACGCCTTTAAACAAATCTAATCGCGCTTCAAAAGTTGATCAAAAGTTGAAAAGTTGATGAGGATTCGCATAATGTTACATGACCACGGGGAATAAATACAATTTCACATGGATTTATTTTACAGTTTATGCAGATTTTGAGACTTTCAGAATTCAGAACTCTTTGAAGAAGTGTTTGTGTTCGAATTTTCCTTAAAAAACTCGAGCAAGTCCTTATCCCATTCTTCCTCAATTTCAATGTCCAATTCGTCTTCTTCATCGATTTCAAATGAAGTTTTCTCGATTACCTTTTCTAAAGCCACCTTCGATAAAAATTGTTCGATATTTACTTGGGACTCTAACGATAACTTGGATGCCTTATCGATTTCAGAATCCCGCCGAAGAGTTTGGTTTGTTTCTTAACCGGTGGCTGATAGCCATCATTTTTAACTCTCACCGACCGACCGAATAACCGACAGTTCATTCAACATTTTTTAAAAATAAAGCACAAAGGTAAAAAATAACCTGATAAGTCATAAGAGTTCCTTTGATCGGGTTTAAACAACAGCTTCGAAAATATTCGAAAATTGGCTACCTTAATGTAAACAAATTTCAATTCATCGCTTGTGCTACCAAAATCTTATATCTTATTATTTTATCTATATATAAATAGTCTGGGATTTCGGAATATTGACCATTTATTTGACTAATTTTGCACCGGACTTCCAGCTTTGACTCTAAAATTTAAGATAAAAAAAAAAATGGAGGTCAACAATTTGTGCAGTGAGCGGCTCATTTAATATACAACTATCATGGACATAACTTCCATGAATCCATGAATCTGTGGAAGTAAAATCAGACTTTACTTCCGTGACCAAAAGTCGATCGAAGCGCAGTTTGGTAATCGACCCTGAAACTGGAGATCAATTCATACGTACATTTAATTTAAAATATTTTGACGTATTTGTATAACTAGCACCAAATAAAGTAAAAAAAGAGAAATCTGAAAATAGTCATAATTATTTGGGCCAAATTCTTACTTATTATGTTTGCTGGGTTGGAGGTGCTTCGGCCAATAGAGTTAAAAGCGAAAAATTAAATTTTCCTTTTACCCTCCTACGCGTTTCAACGCTCTCGCGTCTTCAGCAGAGAGTCTTTATTCAAAACAAAAAATTCGTATCTTATGCTCTTATTTATATTTAATACTAGCCGACCACGGATGCGCGAGGCTTCGCCACGCGCTGAATGTATGCATATGAATGTACATTTACGTATTTGGAGAAAGAAATCATATGTCATCATGTACTTCGTTTATTATATACATAAAAAATCTTGTCTAAATCCGTTCAGTAGCGTGGTTAAAATATCTCGTCTTCCTTTATACTATGTATACATGCGAAGGCCATGCACTTTCTTTTGGTATCTCATTTTTTATCCAACGAACGGTGAAGATCTTATAGTTTTTAAACAGGTGGCAACCCTACTTAGAAAAATAATACATTATTACACATCCAGAGGCTAAGTCTTTTCATTTGACAGTGACGGTGCAGAACTGACTACTACGCTTATTAGAATTGAATATAGCAATTTTCTTAACAGTTGGCAACCCTATTACAATTCCAAATTAAAAAGGTCACTCTCTTATCGATACAGAATATATTAGAGAAAATCTCGTCAAAATCCGTTCAGTAGTTTTCGAGATTACCGCGTACAAAGAATCTCGACTTTCCTTTATACTATTTTGTTCTCCGGACGCCACTATCCAATTTCTATGTAGAATCGCTCGGTGATTCCGAAATTCGGGTAATTTTTTTTTTTCTCTAGATACGGTTTCGAAATATTTGCAATTTACCGTTATTCAGCTTAAGGCAAAAATTGGTTCCTTTTAATCACGTATATCTTGCGAACCAATTTAAAAATCTTAATTATAAATAACAAGAAATAGCAGCGCTGCCTAATGGACCAAGGGCCCTGCGCCATTTATGTTAAGAAATCGCACAAAAAAGCTCATGTCTTTCTTTGGTAGCACATCTTGAACAGACTGAAAAAGCGTCGCAGCTAGAAACGCAATAGTAAAATGTAATCTGCGTAGGCGAGGTGCCATTGATGCAGTTTGTTTGGAGTACTGGACACAGAATATGTAGAACAAATGTCCAAAGCAATCACAGACCTTAAGGAAAATGAACTACATCTGCTGCACCTGATCAGAAATCAAACATCCATTGTGGACTCAACCATCAACATTCTGAAGCAGGATCAAAAGGCGGTCAAGAGGAAGTTCGACCTCATTGATCAACAAGTCAGTCAAATATTCTAGAGTATCAACAACGCCAGGCATGAGACATACCAAGAAAAATTATTTCGAATCTTTTCCTCATTATCCATCCAACTCACACTTATGGCAGCCAATTTGTAAAGAATACAATCTGTAACATTAGCCGTTCTAATAGATACAAATCACGGAAGAATAAGTCCTCTTTTGCTGACGCCCAGCCAATTGCAAGTCGAAGTAAACAAAATCAAACTTCACTTATCAGCACCATTGGAACTGCCTGTAAACCAAGAAGATTTACTGCAGCTATACCAACTCATGAAGGTTAAGGGAGGACTTACAGAAAAGCATGTTGTATTTAGCATCACATTGCCTCTGGTAGAGCATGATCGATACGACTTATTCAATCTGCTACCAATTCCTACTTAAATAATGGGACTATGATTGAAATAAGTCCGTGTGCTGCAGTTTTGGCAATAAACACAGCTCTCGGCCAATATTTCCCTCTGAGCATCTCCAAATTTCAATCATGTGTGGATATTAAAAATGGAAATACCATCTGTTCTAGAATACAAATTCGTTATAGTCATCGTCTATATACGCATGTGAAGTAAATCTCTTCAACAACAACACCTAGTCAAGTAGTCAACTGCGAAAACCACCAAACGATGTTGCATGGATATCACTACAACATAAAAATCAATCGATTTATGCCACGTCAGTTTCATCTCGTACGACAGCAGTATGTGGAAAAGAAATCATTCAGGTGATTTTAAAAGGATCATGATTGTTATCACTCCAACCAGACTGCATACTCAAATATAATTTTATATCAGTTCAAGCACATCAGTTGATATCGACGAGCCTTTGCCGGAGATCCATTGTCGCGCCAGACGAAGCTATATAGAAGCGTGTGGGGCTGACGGGGGCAAATTTAGAATCCACCTGAGGTACAGTCCCTCGTTGAGTGTGAGGGCGAAAGGCATTCTAGGCAATGTCCATGTGCTCGTTCCACCTGTTTTCATTGCTGTGGAGGCATACTCCGGAAAATTTGGCAAATGCGCAAAGGATGTGGGCGGCGGAATAAACCGCAACAATCGCCGTGTGGGCTGCGATGTAGAGAGAAACGACTTTAATGTTGGGTGCAAATTACTGCATGGGGTTAGCCGACGATTAGTGGGTTAATCGGGTACATTGATAAACGTTCTTTTCTTTTTGAATGTGAGGTGGTTTTCTTTCATTTGCGGTTTCGGTTATTGCTTTTGACTGAAAACAAAGTTTGACGAGCGCTCTGATTAAGATAACGTTTTGCGTGCGCACGTTTAACATTCTTACGTGATCATCGAGGCCACGATGCACAATGTTTCGACTATATGGAGGTAGGTGGAAATAATAGCACACCTGCACCGATTTCACTGAAACTTGACATGTGCTCTAGTTTTACTTAGAAATACAGAATTATGAAATTTTGCAAAGATGGAATAATTGCCACGCCCTTTACTCTTGTGGGCGGAAACAATAAATCTCATCCGATTTCGATGAAATTTAGTTTGTGGTCTTTATTTTATTATAAAAACCTAGATATAAAATATTGGGAAGATTAGATCATTATAACGTCCAAAACTCACAAAAAATGTGGGCCCAGTCATTAAATGTGATGGAATTTTGGTTAATTTTGTTTCCTGCTTTCCACTCTCAGAAAACAAAGGTTATACTATAAAATGATTTTGGTATAAATACTCGCTTTTTCCCAATATTTGGTGAAATTTTTTCATTGTTCGAAAAATTCTTTTCGCGAAATTATGCAAAAAGAAGCTGAAAATCAAAAATTTAGAAAATCAAAAATTATATATATTTGCGAAGTCGCGCGCAAAGATCAAATTATATATTCGAAAACTACATAAAATTCTCCAAAACATTCGTCTAATTTCAAGACCTGACGGACCGGTACTCACACTTTTTTTACTAATAACATTTAGCACCTACATTTCAAAGTAAATTTTTTGGTAAGAAAATAGGAAAGTACCAAATAAATGATAAACACCTTCACCTGAATATTCCACGACATTTAAATAATTGATTTCAGTTGAAAAAGAAACACTTTTTTTAATGGGTTAATCGCCAAAGGCACCTAACTGATTAGTCGGTATCGCGCCGATTACCGTTATCATTCTTGAAGAAGGGGGGTGAGTAAATAATGTAAAATTTGGTATTTATGACTTTTACTTTTCTCTTTTTAAGTCCAACTGGTTCTTTTTTATCAACTGTCACCATGACTTTTTTCTACCTTCCTCGATATAGTCGAAACACTGTGCGATGTAGCCTTTTATTTTACTGAGGCGCTATTCTTGAATATTATTTTAGTTTTATCTTTTGAGAAGATAGATAATCCTCGTTCCGTTGGCGACTGAATTCATGATGGAGAATTTTTAATCCTTCCCATCGATTCATTAGAAATAACGATTGCTCGTCTCGTTCGGGTATTGCCAGAAGTGGAGCTCCTCTAAGAAAATGCCCAAGGGTGAGGGCTGTGAAATCGGAGGGATCTTGCGAGAGCGCAAAGAGGGGCCGTGAATAACGAACGGCTTCCATTCGGGTTAATAATGTTGTGAATTCTTCAAAGTCAAATTCGTGTGTGCCAGCGACTTATTGCTTATCAATGCACGACTGCTTTATGGGGGTTATTGTGAGTCATTGTATTAGCAGATGCGTGATTTTTACTTTAAACATGCTTGTGTCATAATTGACGAAAGCAATCCTGCGGGGCCCACAAGGTTTGCCAAAGATGGTAGGATTTACCTTTCTTTTATTGGGAATTGATTGGTGTTCTATCGACTTAACGGTTTTTTGAGGAAGTTTAAATTCTAGGCTGACAAGATTTGCGATTGATTAGTTTGCTTTTATTATATTCTTTTTTGGGGACCCTGTTGTGGTTAGGGTTTGGGTCACCTGGGGTGGCGATTCGTATGGGGGAAGGTCTTCTAACTTTCGAATTCTTACGTGTGAACTGAGGCTGGGAATACCTTGCACTCGCGTTGTAAATACTGCTATCTTTTCTGTTACTTCGCCGCTTAAAATCGTAGATGGTATTTTGGGGTAATAAAGTGTTTGAAATTTTGTCGATGCCTTCAAGCATGATTTGGGGTATTAGGTCAGTGCCTAATAGGATATCAACTTGCGCGGGGTGTGGCAGTTGGGATCCGCTAAATTGAGATGAGCGATTTTTTGTAGATTTTTCGGGTTTATTGCATGGCTAGGTAGCATATTTATAAGTTGCGGTAGAACTATAGCGTGTGCTTCTGTTCTTTCATCCACGTTGGGGGAAATCAGGATGAATTTGAAGATTTTGTTAGAGTTTCGGGGTCCTGCGTTTTGGGGTCTTCGGGCAAGAGTTCAAGCTTTTTTGGGGTGTGCTTGTAAAATTTGTTATGTGGAGCATCGAATGATGTCTCCTTTGGCTATATACGCAGTTAAGTTTGCTCCCACAGTCTTTAAACCTATGAGATTGTGATAAGCAATTAGTACAAAGCTAGAGCTTCTAGCAAACTTATTTCTTTCGATAATTGGTAGTTTTTTTAATCTCTCGCAAGAGTTTAATTTATGACTTCTTTGCACAATTCGCATGACGCATATTTATTTTCTGTTATGTATGATTGCGATCTATTGAAGCTTCTATTGTGTGATTTGGAATTTCTGGCTTGGGGTATATTGAAGGTTCTATGTAGATCATTTTGTGTGTTTTTAGGTTTTGATAATTTTGTATCTACCCTCTCTGCTATTTCGTACTGGGTAGTGAGAAAATGTTTTATTTGTTGCCATGTCGGAATTTTTTTTTTGGGATGGAAGCGATTGCTCCCATAGTAGTAACGATTTTTCTGGCAATGTTGCGGAACATACATTTACCAGAATTGGGTCCCAGTTATCTGTGGG